CCGTGTGATCCTGTCGTGATCATGGGGGTCATTTACAAGTCCTTACGCTTTGAACAGCCATGGCAAGCTTCATACAGGGCCTTTCGTAAAAAGAAAAACAGTGCTAGAATTTCAAGCTTTCTACTTTCCAGCAAGACTTTCATTTTATCCCTAGGCCTGCTATTCGAAAAAATCCCCCGTTGTGATCACAACGCGACCGCTGCCGGACGACACGAAAAACCAACCCTCCGACGCCATAAAACCTCCAGTTGGCTTAAAGACTTTGGTATGCTTCTAAAACGCATGTTTTCGCCAAGGATATCAGGAAATAGTTCATTGGGCGCCAATTGGCATCACCTCTGCAATGCGCCATGCATAGCGCTTTCACGCAGAGGTATTGGGAAGGTGCAACTTCTAGAAAGGGCTTCCTCCGTGCAAGTAGATGTGCTTCTGCGATAGAAAGGTCCGGAAGTGTATTTTCATCTGTTTATTAATTCATGACGTCGTTGTGGGCGGCCATCGTATTTCCTGTCATCGCCCGTTCCCCACTTCTGCGCTGGCCTTCTGTCCCACGTATGTCTCTTCAGGTGTTTGTCGCGGATGCGACGGTCGCCGTTGGGCGCACCTCGCGCCCCGGCCCATCCGCGCTCGGTTCCCACGGCGTGCGCTTCACGTGCGCCGTGGCTTCCGCCCCCTGCGGTCGTGGTCAGTATAGTACGTTCGACGGCTGGCAGCCGGCGGGGGCTGGCTGACTGCGCAATAGGTCCCCTGGGCTCTGCCATGACTGGGAGCAGCCTCTACTCCAGCCCCGACGAGGACATCGACGATCGCATGGAGCATCGAGGAGTACCGTCGGCAAGATGGGGGCATATTGCGTACAAGGGGTAGAAGCCGTGCAGGCCTATTACGTAGCTAGAGGGGCAGAGCCCAGGGGGCCTATTGCGCAGTCAGCTATGGAACGAAGCCCGTAAGATCGGCGACCAGGGAGAGAACATCTATTGTAGTGTGGTGAGTATTTTGTATAGTAAATATGTTTATTTACAATGTGTAGTTGTGTTCAATATGTTGGTATTGCCATCGTTTTATATGTGTCAATGTGGTGTATTGCGTGGGTAATGCGTGTGTATTAGACCATGTGTAGGTAGGGTTGGGTACCCTGGTCCTTGTCGTCTAAGCTGTTGGGGCGGTTGAATAGGCGGTAAGACCCCATGGTCCCCGAGGGGTGGTCCGCTCCTCCTGTTAGGGGGCGCAGGAGTGTAGTGGGCCCGATGGGGCGTCCGACTGGTAAGTCGGCGCACCGGGAGTTTGAGTGCGTTGACCGCCGATGCCGATCGCACATACGGGAGTGGTGCACCCGTCCGCGACAGTGTTCTTCACATGGATAAGTCTTTCATCATTGAAGCTGAACGACATCTGGGTATCGCTGCACCCTCACTTCAGAAAGGGCCCTGCGCTTACGACCCCCCCTCCCTCGAGGTCAAATACGACCCCTGTTGTGATCATCACAACGATGGCGTGCCCTGTTTCTAAAGCGTTGATACTTTTTCTCTTATTTGGATTACAAACTACGGTCCCGTATCCTAGCAGTGGTCTGATGTAGGTCTTGTATGCTTTGCATAATACACGGGCATCCCTGGTTAGGAATGACCTGAACATGTTATGCAAAACAACAGTTGCTTTAGATGCGATTTGAAACAGTGCGCATCAAAAGTTAGATCACTGCGAATAAGAAACTCTTGGTCCCTGATTTCTAACCTCATCAAAATGCTACCCTTGAATCGAATACGAGGACGTGCTATCAACTTTCCCTATCGTAGCACCTTGGTTTTCTCACTAGATAGAGGTAAGCCCCATTGCTTGGCCCACATGCTAACCTCATTGATGACCGCTTGCAACAGCACTTTGTCCGAGTCAGATGAGATCGGGTGATATATTTGAGGTCATCAGCGAAAGCAACACACTTGACTCCTCTAGAGGCTATAAGACGAGGTAATTCAAATGTAAATATGTTGAAAAGAAGAGGAGACAAAACGCCTCCTTGCGGCACGCCACTGAGCACTGGCCTAGGTTCGGAAAACTCCGCATTAACGCGCACAAGATAAACTCTATCAGTAAGAAAGGATTCTATCCACTTAACAATTCTGGGATGAACTCCAACTATTTCGAGTTTAGTTATGAGTTCAGAACACACTCTGTCAAACGTCTTCGCGAAATCCAGATAAATCAGGTCTGCTCCGGCGCCATTATCAAGGTACGTCGTACAATCATTAAAGGCCTGCCTACCGATTAACGCTTCCCTGTTCAAT